CGGGTTGGCTGGTGGTGGTGGTGCCGCTGTGGAAATGGGGACGCAGAGGAGGAGCAGTTTGGCCATGGCTGGCCTGTTTCGGCTTGAAGGAGAAAAATTGTGAATGGAGAGAGCAATGAGTAATGAGATAGAGTTCGTGGTTTTAAGGGGGGTATTTTGTGGGGTTTTGCCGAGTGGTGCTAATGTGAACTTGGTGCGAAAGATGAGATGTGACTTTGTCACAGTGCCTTTTCCCCCCTTTGTTAGACTGCGAGAATGCCTTTTAAAAGGGAATAAGAAACGAGGTTTAAAATATCTTTGCCGTTTAAGGGAGGTATATGGGTGAGGGGTGAGTGTCAAGAACTATGCTAATAATTTGAGTTGTTGGGAGAAATTTAATTTTGGGTCATATATTATTTACTAATATATCTTCTTAAAAAAAGTTATCACATATGGGCCTGAAGTTTACATAGATTCGGACACCATGTACTTCAATCTTATAGTTTCATCAGTGATTGAGAAAAACCCTAATTATATACTTTTCTTTGTTTCTTCAGTAATATTTTGTAGGATTTTATATATGTCATTTTTAATTTAAGGTGGGGCTGGCGTAAAGTTCTGCACGGGTGCGCTTTGCTCAACAAGTAGGGTTTGTACTTTGTAGTGGCAAGTGGGAACTGGTGAGGCAATTGATGTAGGTTCGGCGATTTGGGTGCCATGGGAGGTGCCCGTTGCTGCACCTTTATTGCCTCTGGCTCCTATATCGGGGCATGATAAGGTCGCTAGTTTAATCAGCCTCGGGGATAGTAAATGGTGTGAGGAGTGTCTACTGTCTAGTAGCATGCTTTCCGGCAGAGTGGGTCCAACGGATTAAGGCTATTCCCTGCCTCGTTTGGAGGTGGTGGATAGACTTGTCTGGAATGAGGATCCATCGGGCTCTTATATAGTCAAGTCTGGTTATCATTTGGCATTCCGTACGCGCCTTGATCGGGCAAAATGGAAAGAGGATGTTATTGGATGGACATTGAAGTTTTGGCTGGCTACTTGGTCATTTGAGGTGCAACCTAAGCTGAAGTTCTTCCTCTGGCAAATGTTCAGCCGCATTCTACCTACCACGGAGGCCTTACCGGAGAAGGATATGGAGGTTGAGAGAGGATTTTGGTGAACTTGGGAAATGACCTTCTGGACTTCCTCTTTGCGATTCCAAGCATATCAATGTGTAGATAATCACTCCATGTTAAATACAAGCCATTAAACTTGAATTTCCATTGAGCCAATTGTGAGAACCAAGCCTTCAAATTAGGCTACCTGAAACAATTTAAACACTTAGCCAAAAATCAGGATTCTTCATATGAGTTGAGATGGCTTCTTTGGCAAGTAATTGTGACTTGTAAATCGATCTAATTTGGATAATATCACAGCTTGGTACCGTGTTTCCTAGCCACCAAGCCAGTCTTAGCTTTCCAGCTGGTTTAGCCAGAGTTTACATCTTGCTACCAAGCCTGCCTTGTCGACTTGATATCCTGACTTAGTGTTTGGGAGCCACGTTTCATACAAATTGGCTTGTAACAAGGGATGGGCGGTTTTGGTTATCGAGACCACGAGGCGCTCGGTTTCCAAGGTCTGGGAGAGGGAGTTAATTAGCCACTTAAACACAAAAATCCAACTCAATAGGGCACATCTGTCTCAATTAATGTCTAATATTTAGTTAGCCTTATAAGTTCATTAAATCCCTAGTGATTATTGTATGAAATTCACATTTAAGTGTAAACAAATGCATAAGAACTTAGTGTATAAGGATTATGAACTAAGTTATTAAACCCAATTTGACCACCTAAAATATTAATTTGCATGCTAACCAATTGTAAAACAATTTAACTACACTTCTACATTATTAACACAAAATACTAATGAAAAGAAACAACTCCAATACCACATGCATCGAGAATTCATAATTAAAATTCGAACAAATAAAATTAAAAATAATCAAATGTTTTCATATAATTAGTGAATGACAACTACCAAGACATCAAACACAAGAAACGACAAGATCAGCATCGTCCACAAACATCAAAGAAGCAAAGACTACTAGTGTGCGATGTACGCTCTGTCAATTGCAAAGAGGAGTATAAAAGGATGACTTTTATGTTACTCTTAAACACATTTCAGATGTTGGGTGGATGGTTGTTTGCAATAAAAGGAATTTGAGATATTTGGAATTACAACTTTGGTTGGTTTTGAACCTTACGACTTTTTCTCTTAGCCAAAGACTAAGACTATGTGGTTATACTAGTAGAGAATTATCGGTTAACCCCTAACCGATTAGTCAGTTAGCGGTTAACCACTAAGTTAAATACAACTAACCTAAACCGAACCACTAAAAAAATTAACAGTTTCCGATTAACCATTAACTACCGTTATTAGTTTGGACTAACCATTTAGCATCCCAGTTTTTGTGGTTGACCACTTCCATCATGTTTTGAATACAAAAGTGAACGGCTGAAAATACAATTCGAGAGAGGCTCGTGAACCAGCTCGTAGCTTGTGATTTATCGATCTTGAAACTGTCTGCAGCCATTGGACAAGAGCACTAATGATTTTAAAGCTTATAGGTTTACTCGCAAGCACCTCCTCATCTTTACTCATTTCTGTACTGCTCTCTGGGGTTTCATCATAAATAAGCTTTCAACTTTGGTTTCGCTTGGCACCTAAATCCTAAAAAGGACAAGGCAACAATAGCGTAAATACTAAATACTAACAAGAACTAGACAACACTGGAATTAAGGTTGGCTAGTTTCCTGTGTCTCTTCCTCTCGAGACAACTATGTTGTTTTCATGCGCTCACCCGTTTCCTTGAAGAAAAGGGATCAATCGGCTTGTTGGGTAGTAAATACAATTTCAATATCCCTTGATTAGCTCTCTCTGGAGGTGGCAATTGGATCGGATTCATGGATTCGTTGATTGGATTGATGGATCAATGGATCAAATGGATTGGATCAAATGGATTGGTGGATTCATGGATTGGATAAAATGGATTGGATTTGAATGGATTGGATAAGTGGATAATTTGGTGGATGGATTGGATTGGATTCATGGATGTGGATCCTAATTGCCATCTCTCTCTCTCTCTCTCTCTCTCTCTCTCTCTCTCTCTCTCTCTCTCTCTCAATGCTAAATCATTGATTCATGGTGGAGCATTAACGTACTGGGAGTGATAAACTCGCTTTGACTGGCTTGATAAACCGGAGTGAGTTGTTAACAAAATCTATACCCGACCCAATCTGTCAATTACAAAAACAGATAAAATTCATTCTCGAACCGAAATTCGTCAACAACGCGTTTAACTCTCTTTAACCCGGGCGAATCAGGCTGACCCAACCCGACAACTACAAAAGTGAGTAAAACTAGTCCACCATCTAAAACGAACTAACATTCGGCAACATTGGATTCTACTCGATTTGACCGGCTTGATAAAGCGGGGCGAGTTCTTAACAAAATCCACACCCGACCCAATCCGTTAATCACAAAAGCTGGTAAAATTAATTCCCGACCCAAAATAGATTCAATTGTCACAAAAGGAAATAAATCTACACTGAACCCAAAATTCGTGAACATCGAGTTCAATTTGCTTTAACCGGGTCGAATTAGATCAAATACCCATTGATTTGAGCATGTAAAACTCGTTGTCGATAAAAAAATTCGTCAACACCGGGTTCAACTCTCTTAATAATGAAAACAAAACAAAGTTTAAACGACAACAAAGGTAATTAGGGCGAGTTTTAAATAAGATCACAATGACCAAGCCCTCCAATTAGAAAAGCATGTAAAACTCGTCCTTGACCCAAAATTTGTTAACACCTAGTTCAACTCGTCTAACTGGATCGAATAAGGTCGAGTATCCATTGATTTAAGCGTGTAAGCAAAAACTCGCCATCATTGGGACAAACTCGCTTTCACCGAGTCGACATTAAGTTAAATATCCATTGATTTCGACCCAAATTTCGTTATCACCAAGTTCAACTCGCTCTACCTGGACGAATTAAGTCGAATATCTATTGATTTAAGCGTGTAAGCAAAAACTCGCCAACGCCGGGTCGAACTCACTTTAACCGGGTCGACATTAAGTCAAATACCCATTAATTTCCATTGTTTAGCCAAAATTCGTCAAGACAGAGCCAAAATAATCTCCTCTAGCTACAACACATGTCTTGATTTGCATGACCTTATTTGAAGTCTGTTTAAGGGCTCGTTTGATTGTTGGAGACTTTTGGATTAAATTATAATGGATTGTGCATTTTGTATTGGGAAGAGAACATTGTTTGTCTAATTGACTACTAATTCCACTTTGGGTGACAATTAATCATTATATATAATTTGCGTAGGCTAATTCCAATTTGGGTGACAATTAATAAATTATTATACCCAGTTATAGACCCGTACGAGAATATGCTGTTTTGAGGTTACAAAGTACAAACTGATGAAGGAGACAGGTGAAAAGTAGCTTACATAAAAAAGCCATGCATGCATCTTCTCTTCGCCCACCCGGCCGGGACTTGTTCAAGCCATGCAGCTTTAATTTATTAGATGTCAGTGTACCGGTGGCTCTATAAATGAATCCCCAGCAGATATATTAACAGCCCATATCCAATTCTCCAAATCACATCTCCTCTGACAAAATGGCACTTATATATCTTCTCCTCCTCCCAATCTCCATCACCATCCTCGTCGTCATCACCGTTTCACGATTTCTCACCACCTCTGCAGTTTCCAAACACCGCTCACCGCCGCTGCCTCCAGGCCCTAAGCCATGGCCCATCATCGGAAACCTCCCTCACCTCGGCAAGAAAGCTCACATCTCCCTCCAACACTTCTCCCAGCTGTACGGCGCTCTCATCTCCCTCCGCCTCAGCTCCCAGCTCCTCGTCGTCGCCTCTTCCCCCGCAGCAGCCGCCGAAATCTTGAGAACCCATGACCGCCTGCTCTCCGCTAGATAAGTCTCCACAGGCCTGTCATACGACATGATGGAGCTCGACCACAAGGCGATCGTTTGGGCTTCCAACTGCAGCAACGACCAGTGGAAGGCCTTCCGAGCAATGTTCAGGAACCAGATCTTCTCGGCGAAGGCCATCCACTCTCAGGCCGCCTCCAGGGAGAGGAAAGCTGCCGAGATGGTGAGATTTCTCGAGGGGAAGTTGGGGGAGTCGGTTAGTATCGGCCAAGTTGTTTTTGCTGCTATATTTGACTCGCTGTCGAATCTCATGTTGTCGCGAGATTGCATAGGGTTCGAGAGTAGCGAGACAGCCAATCGATTGAAGTCACTGATTTGGAGGATGATGGAATTGGGGACTTCTCCTAATCTCGCCGAATTCTTTCCAATTCTGAAGAAATGGGATCCCCAGGGGCTGAGACGTGAGACGTTTCGTTGTTGCAATGAGCTCTACTCCGTTTGGCAGCCCTACGTCAAAGAGAGGAGAGAGCGTTGGCGGGGAGAGCGATATGGTGCTCAGGACTTCTTGGATATTTTCCTGGAAAATGGACTCGATGATAACCAGATTGACTGGTTGAGTCTCGTAAGTTCACAAGGAAAAAGAAAGAAAAAAAATTTCAATCCTATTTTGTGGTTAGCGACAAGCACCAGTTAGTCCCAACAACTCACTACCCGAAAATCAACCCACGGTTAATATTGGGAGTCGTGCAGATTTGAACAAATGACATTTTGTTCAAACTAAACTAACTCTGATATCATGTCAAGAACTAGTTAGTCCCAATAACTTGAGCTGTTGGGAAAAGGTTATTTTGGATCTTATACCACTCTCTTACAAGTTTGAGTTTTAGCTTTTTCCTTTGATTTTCTTGCAGGAACTGTTCATGGCCGGTACAGACACTAACACGACTGCAATAGAATGGGCGATGACAGAGTTGATTCGAAACAAGGGAGCAATGAACAAGCTGCGGGAGGAGCTCAACGCAGAATTGTCGTCGCCGCTCGAAAGAAAACCGCCGATCGATGAATCTGTAGTGTCTCGACTTCCATACTTGAATGCAATCGTGAAGGAGACACTGAGGCTACACCCGCCAGGGCCGCTCATGCTGCCGCACCGCGCATCGGAGACTTGCGAGGTGATGAATTACACGGTCCCTGAAGGAGCTAAGATTCTGGTCAACGTGTGGGCGATTTCAAGGGATCCGACAGTGTGGGAGGATGATCCGACGTTGTTCAAGCCGGAGAGGTTCATTGGGTCCAAGGTGGATTTTAGAGGGCATGATTTCGAGCTGTTGCCATTCGGTGCTGGGAGGAGGATGTGTCCTGGAATGCCGTTGGCTACCAGACAGATTTCGTTGATTTTGGCTTCTTTCGTTCGGAACTTCGATTGGTGCCTCCCCGGTGGAAAAGATCCAGCGGAGCTGAATATGAGTGAGAAGTTTGGGTTCACGTTGCAAAAGGAACAACCTCTGCTTCTTGTTCCCAACCGGTGTTCATTATGAGATCTTCAATTAATATTGGTTTGGTTGCTACGAGTCATTCCATGTAGTTACCAAAAGAGAGTCCATATATGAAACTAATCACGAGGCAGGCTCGTGAGAATATGTTTGTATGTTATCAGCCAGATGAACGTCGTAATGCCCTTAACATGAAGTTTATTAAGTACGACATACTAATCGACTTTAATATATGAAACTAATCACGAGGCCGGGTCCCAATTATTGAAGCTGCGTGACAAGTCGGTAATATTATTATCAAATCAAATTTTGCTACTTTATAGTTCACTTCCTTCTTGTTAGAGGTTAGAGTGTTAACTTCAACTCTAATCAGCTTCCATTTTTTTATGTTCAATCGGATCGTGGCTGGTAATGAAGTACATATTTGAAATTTGACAAAATTAAAATTAATAAATCTACTAAACTATAAAATATGTTCTCTCTCTTAGCCATTTTATACGAGAAAAAACACTACTAATTTCGCTACTACTTATGATTTTTAGTTGCCAGTGACCGACAATTTTGGAGGTTGACTGTAGTACTTTTTTAGAGTGTACGAGTAGTGATTCTCACGTAATTATTAATGTCTTGACAATTTTGTATTTGTAGCAATTGACAATTTTTAACTAGAATCACTATCACAAATTACCAAAATTCTACCAACCAAAAAAACTACTAACATAACTATGCAAAACACTATGATCATAAAATCTTTACAGGCCAAGACTGTTGCCACTAGGGGTGGACAACCGATTTGGTAAACCCGGACCGAAACTGAATTAGTGTTGTTCGGTTCGGAATTCGGAACCAAAACCCTTTATTTCAGGAACTAGGTGTATACAGACCGAAACCGAATTCCGATCAACCGAACAAAAAATTTAACCCAATCCTACAACCCAACTAACTACTCAACCTCTCACAGCCCAATTCTCACCGAACCCAAAAATAAATACCTCACAAGTCACAACCCAAATAAAATAGAGACCAAAGTAAAATCCCTCAAGCCCACAACTCTTTCATACCTATTGCTAACCAAAACCTAACAAAGAAGAACACAAACCCAAACATCACCGCCGCCAACGACCGTCAAGCATCGCCGCCGTCCACCGAATCCTCCTATCATCTCTTGGCCTTGCCGCAAACTTGTCCTCTACGTGTTGATGCCATTTCCCCTCTCTCCGATCTCTTCTCCTCCCTGAGACCATAAACCCAAATTCAAACATAAAACCCCAAATGCATCAAAATCAATATTGAAAATCGAAGCTTTCTTCTCCTTAATCGAAAAGAACGATGATGCTACTGAAACTCGAAGGTGGAAATAAAACAGGAAAACGACATGCATGCTTAGATCAACACTCATACTGACCTCAAACATTCAATCGTCATGCCCGCCTGTCGCCGCATTGTGTTCTGACTTCCGCATCAATCGTAGTTGCCGTTGAGTCGCTAGAAGGACTGACGGAGGAGATACTACCGCAGCACTGCTGCTTTCTGCTCGTCGCTGAATCGGGAGACGGAGGAGATACCACCACTGCAGCACCGCTCCTTTCTGTTCTGCATCAACTGTGTTTGTTGGAAGAGGAAGGAGAGAGAGAGAGAGAGAGAGAGAAAGATTTGATCGAAATAGGAAAAACGGTAAGGGTTAGGGTATGTTGGCCTGGGAGAGAGAGAGCGCTATTTATAAATCTTCGGTTTGTGTGTTAAAATCGAACCGAATCGATGTTTAACTCGGTTCGGATTCACCGAACCGAATTAAGTTTCGGTTCGAACTCGGTTTGGCTCCTAAACAGTTTCGGGGATGGCTCCTAGACGGTTTGTGTGTTAAAACCGAACTGAACCGATGCCCACCCCGAGTTGCCACTAATTAACTACGGTCCGGCCCCACATTTACACACTAGAAAGGTTGTCAACCCGCGGGTCGACACACTTTGACCCTGACCCGGTGAGAACAACGGGCCGCACGCCCCCGTCGAGTTGACCGCCACGATGTATCGAGTTAGAGGTCAAATTGTGTCATTTTTTCTTTGGTTTGCGAAATGAGAAATGTGCCTTTTTTATTTCGTAATTTTTAATTAAGCTTTGAAATTAGCATAGTGTATCTATTTAATTATTATAAAAAAATTATCTTTCTTCCATTAAAAGAACCCTTATCTTTTTTAATTTTATTCCTATTCTCGGTTAAGACATCATATTTGTAATTTTTATTAATCTATGTGCATTCTAAATGGTTTCATACATACACCTGTATTTAAATTATAAATACAACTGTATTTAAATTATATATCATTTTCAAATTTTAATTATTATGCAATAGTATTTAGGATGTTATGTATTTAGAGATTGATGCATTACTCTCTGGTTGAGATGTAAATGTTAAAAGGATAGAGATTAAAGTTTTGTTGATCTTTTTGTGTTTTGAATACTATAAGAACTTATGTATGTAATTGCTCTAAATGAACAAAGCTTATGCATATGACTTAAATATTATAAAATTATTAATTTTTTAATAGTCAAATTATGACTATTTTAGAACTAAAGAAAAAAGCAAACAGGCCTCTAGATAATTTTCATAATACTTGGACATAAAATTGTGCATAATTTACTCACACACTGAATGACACACGGAATGAGTAAATCAACTATTGAGAATGTTTAAAATATCACGATTGAGAAAATCCTCATATATTATGATGGAAACTTAAAATATTCCATTATATTACTTGACAAACATGTAAACTTGTAATAATTTATCAAATAATATACCTAACAATATTCTTATTTTAAAAATCCTAAAAGTATTCCGGCCTACTGGCCGGGTCCAAGCTAGTGTAGTTAGGATGGTGTTAACCCTTTAAACATCTAGCAACTAAACCCTTTGCCACCATCCATATTCACGAGTAAAGTGTTTTTGTTTTTCTTCTAGCTTGCGAAAATTTTCCTTTGCCGTTTCAACTTTATATAACTTACTTATCAGTACTGGGTTAGTATCTAAATGATATATGACACATAATAGAATCTCTCCCAACAACTCAAGTTATTGGGATCAACTGGTTCCTGACATGGTATCATAGTCTTCTGTGATCGAGAGGTCTTCGATTCAAATCCCGATGACCCTCATCTGTTCTACTAAGCTTCCACGTTTTTATTTGAGATGAAAAATATAAAAATAAAAAACATAAAAAATAAAAATAAGGAAACCAAAAATCTCTAAACCCATCCTCACCGTATGCTCCCAGAACCCATCACTCTTGCCACGGGAAGAGATAGGGTGCTAACACTTTCATTAAGGATACTATAGTAAATTAGTAATGGCTAAATTACATGGTTGGTCACTCAAATTACATATATATTTCATGTAGTCAGCTGGTTAGAATACCCAATGGTGATAGTATTCCCATGAAGGGTGCTGGTTCAGTAATTTATCTATAGGTTTATAGTTGGATCGGGTACTGCATGTTTCGGATTTTCGATGCAACTTATTGTCTATTAATCGTTTAACCAAGGATAATGATGTGGATCTCATATTCATGCGAGATCTGTGTATACTTTAGGACTTACGCTCCAGCAGCGTGATTGGGAAGGGGATTCTCTGTGAAGGTTTGTATTACTTGAAGTTGTTTGGTAACAGTGAGAACTTGACATTTTCGCCTCATGGTGGGCGATTCGTTTCGGAGGAGACGTGCCACAATAGGCTCGGCCATCCATCATCGGGTAAGGTCTCGCAGCTTAGTCATTTTCTTCCTTTGTTCAAGGCAAAGTCATATGGTCCTTGTCATTCGGGTTCACTTGCCAAATTTGCGTGATTACCATTTAATTCTAGTCACATCAAAAACTTCGGATTGTTATCAGTTGGTGCATATGGCTTCGGGTTTTTGGTTTTTTCGGTTTCGGTTCGGGTAACCGAACCCGACCCGAACTGACACCCCTAATCTTGATAAATAGTTAAATAGATTTTGTTTGGAACTAATAGTTGACTTCTTATAATCGAGATTGATATTATTAAAACATGATAAATAAAACTCAATTCTTAGTATTAAAGCAATCATATGAATTAATATATTGAGAGTTTAATTTGTATACCTTGAACTTTATTGATGAATGGTGTTCTCACTTATCATAATCAATTCCTTGATGAAAAGTTTTATACTTGATTGGGATTTTTTTCCTCAATTAATAGGTTTGTACATGATTCCCTTTGGAGTTTGGACAGATAACATGAAGAGTGAATACTTTGAAGTCAGGACATATAGACTGGAAATAAGAACAATGTAAACACCATATAGCAAGGAAGACAGAAGCTCTGGGGAGCTGTCAATTACTATTTTTGAAGAATAGCTTAGATAGAAGGAAAAAGGTTTGCTATGCTAAATCCACAAATCCCCTGAAATGATACCAAGGTGAGAAAAAACAATTCCAATGAATGAAAGCATGGAAGAAAACTAACTGAACTCGAATAAATTTATTTGGCTAAATATGGTTGCATTCACAATTACGCTAATCATTATTAACCACCATCACATGTAGGTGGAGTGTAATTAGTCTCCAAACTATGCAGCATTTTGTGTACTCTCACAATCCACGTCGAATTTTTTACCCCATTAATTATGTAAACCCTTTACCCAACACATAAATTCCACTTTGAAACTCATATATCCCCTGAACGGTTTGACAGCTCATTCACAAATTATCCAAATTAACTACAATTACACACATGCATGTCTCCATCCCCCTTTTAGTTCCCTCGATGCTTGCATATATAGCACCAACAACACTACATCTACATGGACCATACTTTGAGCTTTTTAGCGAGCATTCCACTGACTACACTTTCACCCACCTAAGTTGCTTACCCTTACAGTTCTCATAGCGGCAGCAGAAACATTAGGTATCACTGCAAGAACGTAGCACAATTCAATAGACAACACATGAATCTGAGTAACATAAGATTAAGAGTTTGCCAGTTTGGTGAACCATGTTTATCAGCATAAACATACATTCAACCATTCTAAGTATTATGTATCATCACAAACGAACAAAAAAGGCATTGTATTATGTTCCATAACAACTCAATAGAGGAATGTATTTAGTCAAAATTTCCCATTAACAAATGCAAACTGACAAAGAGGAACCTAGATTAAGAAGTCTAACAGTCGAGGGATTTCAATTATAAAACTATAGGTTAGATAGAATCATCAACCTCAAGGGAAAAATCATTGTTGTATTAAGCCCCAAATCTTCTGAAACATACCAAAATGAGAGAAACAAATCACAAACTATGAAGCCCTGAAAATCTATCTGACATCCAATTACTTTATGGGGTTAAATTTGGTTTGTTTCATAAATATGTTATATTATTCATGGAATTGATTGATTCCTGTTGGTTGGTGTAATTAAGGAAACATAATCATCTCACAACAACCATCCCTTTTACTGGTTCTTCCTTCGGCTCTCCACTCTTTCACCTGTAAAGTAAAATTAGTGTTCACCTAGAATCATGGAGTTTTAATGTTTTTCATAAACACCCCATTTGAATTTTTTTTGGCATGCTGCGTTCTCGCAAAAAAAAAAAGAAAACTGAAATAGCCATATAACGCTTGAAGTAGCAGCACAAAACCAAAATGAAAAATATAGTGACCAAAGTGATTATTAACACCAAACAAAAAACGAACAAAAGCAAGACATTACCAGAAACTCATTTTAATCTATCATACCGCAACACCATAGCAAACTGGCATCTAAGACATTAGCAAATAAATTATGTAATCCACCGGATTAGAATGAAAACGCAAACCATAAACCCAAACGCAATTGATGAGTATCAAATTACAGCAAACAACCAAAAAGAATGGAACAATTGTAGCAGGATAAAAAGGCAGAGTGGAATGACCTCATCAAATAGAGGTCAAGGTCTCCGCATCAAATTGGTGAAGGCAGCTCTCAGCGAACAGAAGCCACCGGTAGCTGCTCTTTCGCCAGTTTCAAGAGATTGAGTGTTCAAGAATAACGAAAATACATAAGAAAACTCAGTCTACTGTTTCTACTCTATACTCATTATTCACACAGAGTTCGAAAACAATATATAGTGGAAGATGTACTTATTTAGCCTAATCTGTCTTCCAAACTGCTTTATTGTCTTTTTTACTGCAGAAGGTTCTTCAGCGGTTCACCTGCACCATGAAAATGATACGGGTGCACTTATCGACAGCCTGCAACCCCATAGAAAACCAGCATTATCCCTTGAACCTTTTGTCCTATCGATCCCTCTCCTTCCAACCTCCAAGGAAAAACTTTGAGTCTTTGAGCTGCGTCATGAAAAGGATACTGTTGCTTGTACGTACGCGTTGACCTGTGAACTCACAATGGTAATCATAGACCAACTAACCAAGAGAGAAGCTTAGAGAGTGAGTCCATTATTAGGACAAACCTCATTTTAAAATGTGTATCTTTAATCCAACAACTCTAATCAATTAGTTCTCTTTTCTTTACCTGTGATTCTCGTCCATGACCAAAGAGCTCAAAGAAGGCAGCTCAAGCCTCAAAGGATACAAAACTACTAATGCTGCTCCAAAGAGAATAATAAAATGTAATGCGTGTTCATTTCTCTTACCACTCTTTGAAGAATAGGCTATAAGGATGAGCAAAAGCAGAATAAGTAAAGGCTCTAAAATGGGTTATTTGTTCTCCAACTTTAATTGTCAGATAGAATTCAAATCTGATATAGATCTTGAAATTGTCATTGAAAAGACAAACAAAAAGAATCACCATTTTCATCAGCTATGATCTTCGATTTCCTCCTTTCATCAAGATGCAACACAACAAGACTCTGTTAGCATATTTTAAAAAAAAAACATGATGAATAAATACGGCATAAACGATTTTAGTTAGGTACTCATCTTCCCAATGATCAGGAAACTATAAGCCAAATTCCCATCTTGAGGCTGCTTTGAAACAATCATAGTTCTGAGTTCTGACAGTTATCTCACCGTGGGAGGCCTCATCTACAACAAAACTTACCAGAAATTAGTTGCCAACAATCACGATAAGCCCTGGTGATTTTCATGGAATCTAACACTCCTTCATCACAACACGAATCTCCATTGCTGGTCCAATGGGTTCATCACCCACCACTACTAACAGCTTCCTAAAAAGAGGCTAAATAATGTCATATGTGGAGGAAAATAGAGAGAACCCAAAGAAACTTAGCTAACAGCAGAGTAAACTGGCAAGAATAAAAGAATGGAAATCTACAAACTCAATCACAAAATAATTGGAGGGACCACTGCTTATAGGGCTTATGGTTCCTTTTCTATTTGTTTGATTTGGGTTCGTCGCCTCCACCATGAATCTCCAACGAAAATCTGTGTTGTTGGAACCTGAAGCACCCATTCTCCCCCTAAATGATATATGGGACAAAGAAGAGGAAGACCGTGAGATACTCTCTGTGAAGTAAACAAAAAAAAATCGAGATGACATACTTAAGGAATTCCTCGGGCCTAATTCGGATCCACAACTTCATATTTTCTATTTCCTTGGAAAGATCTTCTTCATCCACAATCAGCAAGCCTTACAGCCACAAAGAGAGTCCTTCCCCAGGAGAATACTTGGTATGCATCACCTGATCGCTACTGTCAGATCCCCGTGGAATCCAATGAATCAGAATGAAAACTTAAATCAAAACCTAAGTAAACAGAGAGATAAACACATGTGTTTCTAACTTTCTATAGTTCAAAACTTTTCTCACCATCGAAGAGAGGAATTTGACAATCCGCCAATCACCATGGGACGAACACCTTTATGGTGTCTCTTCTCTCCTCTTCTTCCTTATTACTTCCAATGCCACATTGCCCACTTCTTCTTCCTCTAAACCGCAGCGCCACCATTCCCAATCTTCCGCTTACCCCGATTCCACCGCCGCTGGACAAAAGTAACTTCAACTCCGTCCTTGTCTCCCTCCTCGACTCCCACTACACCGAGCTCGGTGACCTTGTCGAGAAAGCACTCCCTACGCTCTAGAGTAATCCGTCAGCAACCACACATAATCATCCCACACAATGGAGCCCACAAGCGTCGCCTCGACTCCGAGTTCAAGCGCTTCCTCCTAAAGCCTCGCAACCTCCACTCCCTCCGCAGAACAACCTTCGTTGGCAGTGACGGAAGATGATTTCAGCCTAAAAAAAAGTAGTGGGAACCGATGGTTTCTTATCTCTCCTGTCACGCGGGGATTTCTAATTTAATCCCGTGTAACCACCCTGCCACGTCAGACTCCTAAAATCACACTTATGCGCAGGAAAATTTAAATGGGGGTTGCAGTTTTACTTTTCAGCTATAAATTATACTGTTGATGCATGCATCTTCTCTTTCTCTTCGCCCACCCGGGACTTGTTCAAGCCATGCATCTTTAATTTATTAGATGTCAGTGTACCGGTGGCTCTATAAATGAATCCCCAGCAGATATCTTAACAGCCCATAACCAATTCTCCAAATCACATCTCCTGACAAAATGGCACTTATATATCTTCTCCTCCTCCCAATCTTCATCACCATCCTCGTCGTCATCACCGTTTCACGATTTCTCACCACCTCGGCAGCTTCCAAACACCGCTCACTGCCGCTGCCTCCAGGCCCTAAGCCATGGCCCATCATCGGAAACCTCCCTCACCTCGGCAAGCAAGCTCACATCTCCCTCCAACACTTCTCCCAGCTGTACGGCCCTCTCATCTCCCTCGGCTCCCAGCTCCTCGTCGTCGCCTCTTCCCCCGCGGCAGCCGCCGAAATCTTGAGAACCCATGACCGCCTGCTCTCCGCTAGATACGTCTCCACAGGCCTGCCATATGACATGATGGAGCTCGACCGCAAGGCGATCGTTTGGGCTTACAACTGCAGCAACGACCAGTGGAAGGCCTTCCGAGCAATGTTCAGGAACCAGATCTTCTCGGCGAAGGCCATCCAATCTCAGGCCGCCGCCAGGGAGAGGAAAGCTGCCGAGATGGTGAGATTTCTCGACGGCAAGTTGTGGGAGTCGGTTAGTATTGGCCAAGTGGTTTTCGCTGCTATATTTGACTCGTTGTCGCGAGATTGCATAGGGTTCGAGAGTAGCGAGACAGCCAATCGATTGAAGTCACTGATTTGGAGGATGATGGAATTAGGGACTTCTCCTAATATCGCCGAATTCTTTCCAATTCCGAAGAAATGGGATCCCCAGGGGCTGAGACGTGAGAACACAGAAGAATACAAACCCAAACATCACCGCCGCCAACGACCATCAAGCATCACCGCCGTCCACCGAATCCTCCTATCATCTTTTGGCCTTGCCGCAAACTTGTCCTCTACGTGTTGATGCCATTTCCCCTCTCTCCGATCTCTTCTCCTCCCTGAGACCATAAACCCAAATTCAAACATAAAACCCCAAATGCATCAAAATCAATATTGAAAATCGAAGCTTTCTTCTCCTTAATCGAAAAGAGCGATGATGCTACTGAAACTCGAAGGTGGAAATAAAACAGGAAAACGAAATGCATGCTTAGATCAACACTCATACTGACCTCAAACATTCAATCGTCACGCTCGCTTGTCGCCGCGTTGTGTTCTGACTTCCGCATCAATCGCAGTTGCCGTTGAGTCACTAGAAGGACTGAGGGAGGAGTTACGGTACTAATTGTACAATAGTTAGCACCGTCCTAACCAAGGGAAAAACTACTACTAGTTTGAATTAGTAGTGATTTAGTTTAGATGTTGTATTGATTTTATAATAATCCGTAGTGATTTCGTTATTTTTAGTAGCGTTTTTTGCTAGTTATCACGGTGCTAACCCTTATAGGGGTTAGAACCTAATCCCATCCCAAGGACTGACGGAGGAGATACTACCGCAGCACTGCTGCTTTCTGCTCGTCGCTGTGTTTGAGCTCTTCTGTTTTCCTTTGGCTGTGCTTGCCCCGACTGGCCCGTTTCCCGTCTCCTGCAGTCCATGCATACCGGTAACATCGTTTCCCTTATCCTTCCCTCTTCTCCATTGAGGGCAATGTCGAGCTTAAGTGTGGGGGGATGTTTATCTTTTGACTGCATTAGATCTGTTTGTGTGCTTGGAGCCTAGTCCACTGCCCAAATTTTTAAATTTGAGGGCTCCAAGTACGTGTTTCCATGCAATTGCCTGCTCAGTATGCTTTGAATTGACAGTCTTTTTAGTAATATGCAACCTAGGGAGGTAGTGTAGCACTATGGAGGATGTTGATGCATTTAAGAAGTCTCATTTCTTCTTCATATTGAGTTGGTTGATTGAGTGAATTAGTGATCTTAGGACCCTTGAATTGTGTGGTGTTGTGGATTCTCTACCTGTCATGGACTCTTGTATCATGTTTTGAGTTTAACAGGTGCTCGAAAATGTGCTTCAAAATAACGTCTCCCGTGCGAATAGGGCGAAAGTGTGTAAGGGGAGACGGGAATCCGTTCCCAATTTCCACCTACTACCTCCAGCCCCCTTACATGTCTTTCCCCCGCACGAGGCTCGAGACATCCGCTCCTGGCATGGCCGGTAAGAGCAGGTTGGGACCCTTGAAAAGAAAAGAAAAGAAAAATAACAGAAAACAAGCAAAACAGAAAAGAAAAGGGGTCTCAACCATCTCAAGGAGAAAATAGAGCACCTTGAAAAATGTGAGTCCATGATCCTTTGTTTTTGAGAATCTCTTCATCCACAATTCATTTGTCCTCTGTTCACTGTTTGCCATGATGCCGACTCGATAAGAAGCTTTGAGATGACTTGTGCGTCGGTTGACCTCGTAAGCTGCTAAATGATCTAGGAAGTCCTCTACCTACGATCTGGGTTGTTTGTTGCCATAGAGGTCTGGAGAGTTGCATTTGTTTGAGTTAGGTTTGCTTGGGGACAAGCAAACGGTTAAGTGTGGGGAGTTTGATAGACCGTTAGTTACACATGTTTTCACCCCTATTCTTACACCGTTTGAGATGTGGTTTCTCGTGTTTTAGACCGATTTCACGCTAGGTTGTGCTTGTTTGTGATATTTCAGGTCCTGGCAAGTGAATGAAGGTTTAGGAGCGAGTTCGGGGTCGATTGGGTGAAGATCGGGCGCGAGACAAGTCACAAAGGAGGTCACACGGGCTGCCCTGATGTTCACACGGCCGTGTGAAGTAATGGCCTGGCCGTGCGTGTTTTGCCGAGAGCACACACGGGCAGAGCAGAAGATCGACACGGCCGTGCAAGTGGCCGGGTTGGCCGTGCCACATTCTGCGAGAGCAAACACGGGCAAGAGGGGATGTCCACACGGCCGTGCCATTCTGGCCGTGCAAAGAGCCTGGAATTCGAACTAAATGAAACGATGCGTTTTGACTCACACGGGCAACTGGATGAGCTGCACGGCCGTGCCACCCTGGCCGTGTGAGTCGGGATTTTCTCCTTTTAAGCAGAATTTCAGCCACAATTCGAGAGGATTCGGGTTTTTGAGAAAGAGAGCGATTCCTAGAGAGAGAAAGTGACGAGCAAGAGTTCCCAAGTGCCCTAGATTGATCTTCAACACCATTGGAGGCCAGCTTAAGCTTGGAGAAGTGCCGATCAACGTCCAGAAGCAGGAATCCATCCTTCGCAGTATGAATTCCGTGTCTGATTCTGCTTTTGCTTTCTTCTCTATGGAGTAGTTCTCCCATTCATCTGGGTATGGAGAACCCTAGATTTGTGTGTTAGGCTTTGATTGTATGAACCCAAGTACTGATTCTGTGATTGATTATATTCGATTGAGGTTTTAATGATTGAATGACTTGAATCCTGATCAAATTCCTGTTGTTTCTGCTTTAACCTAGAATGAGAATATCTGCCTAGGTTAATAGAGTATCCTTGATTGAAGGTAGGGAGTTGGTGACTTTAGTCGAGGAACCAACTCACTATTCTGTACCGGATTTACTCCGGTAGTGGAGGTTTTGTTCTTAGGGCCTCAATCTGTCTACTCCGGTGGAGGTTAGTCGCCCGCTAGAGATTCAGATTGAGAGGGTCTGAAGACCTTTAGTCGAGACTTCAGGCTGTTTAAGAACCTTCCGCAGTATAATCTTCATAGAAACTGAACTTGGTAATTACAATCCGGCTTAACTGCAGTCTAGGGGGAACCATATCCGGGTGACCTCTCTTAACTTGAATACAAGCATTTACCTGCTTTGCTAGTTTGTTAGTTAGACTTGCATTCCAGTTTCATTGCTAGATAACAAGAATTCACTGAGTAGTCATCAGATCTAGGACCCGGGTTGATAATTAAACCTAAACCCGCTATACTACGCTTTAGGAAGTGGTTACACTTGGCCAATTCCTGGAGTGACAGTAGAGTCGAGTCAAGTTTTTGGCGCCGTTGCCGGGGACGGCTAGGTTGTTGAAGAAAAGTGATTTCTGTTAATTTAGCCTTTCTTTTTGCTTTGTTTGCTTTGTTCCACTTGTGCCTTCACGGGTTTGCTTGCTTGAGTGTGTGCAGGTAGTGCATGACCCGTAGCCAGTCAGGAGGTTTACTGCCGTTGAATTCAGAGATTGACCGCACCTGTCGCCAGCTTAGGAGACAACAGCGAGCTAGACTGGCTATGGAAGAGCGCATAGACGGCCACTTGAGTAGCGATTCTGAAGAAGAGCACGGGATGGACGGAGACTACAATCCACACCAGGGGAATCCTCAGCAGGCTCCCCCGGTGAATCAGGTCCTGGGGAACAACCCCATACCCCAGGATCATGGAGTTCATCATCCACCGCAGCCGGGTCCCACATTGGAGTACTACTACACTCCGCGGATTGCTGACATCCGCCCGGTCATCCTCTACCCGCCTATCCCAGCAAACAACTTCGAGATCAAGCCATGCTGGATTCAGCTTATTACATCTTCCATCCAGTTCCATGGCTTGAAGGATGAGGAGGCCAGGGTACATCTGTCCCACTTTCTGCAGCTGACAAACGGGTTCAAGCTGAATGGTGTCCCCGATGATGCGATCCGCCTTCATCTCTTCCCCCATTCTCTGGCGGGGAATGCTAAGAGGTGGTTGGAGACCCAGCCCCCACTGTCCATAACCTCTTGGGACAATCTGGCTGACAAATTCGTGCACAGGTACTATCCGGCATCGAAGACTACAGAGATTCAACGGGAGATCACTCACTTCCGCCAGAAGCCAGATGACGAACACTTGACTCTTCTTGTGTCATGTTCAACTCCTTCAGCAACTTTCTCAGCCATATCGCATGACACGCACACGATGTCGCAGCAACATACTCAGCTTCACAAGTTGACAGTGTCACGATAGCTTGCTTCTTTGAACTCCATGTGAAAGCTGTATCTCCCAGGAAAAATACAAACCCTGTAGTGCTCTTGCGATCATCTACGTCTCCTGCCCAATCACTGTCGCAGTATCCAACCAATTTGAAATTTTCCGACTTAGTATAAAGCAGACCATGATCGATTGTACCTTTGATGTAGCGTAATATCCTCTTTGCAGCATTCCAGTGTGACATAGTTGGTGCCTCCATGTATCTGCTGACTAATCCAACTGCGTAGAGAATATCTGGTCTGGTACAAGTAAGATATCTCAGGCTTCCGACAAGGCTTCTAAACTCCGTTGAGTTGACCTTCTCTCCTTTGTCATCCTTTTATAGTTTTAGTCCACACTCAGCTGGTGTGCTCACAGGATTACAGTTCTCCATCTTAAACTTCTTCAGGACCTCCTTTGCGAAGCCACTCTGTGAGATAAAAATTCCTTCCTCCTTTTGAGTTACTTCAATACCGAGATAATATGACATCAGTCCGATGTCTGTCATCTCAAACTCACGAACCACCGTCTCCTTGAACTCTTCAAACATTTTAGGATCGTTGCCTGTGAAGACGAGATCATCTACGTACAGACAAACTATCAGGATTGCTCCCCCTTGCACCTTGCAGTATAGTGCATGCTCGTGTGGGCATTTACTGAACCCGTTTTGCTGAAAATACTTGTCAATCCTGCTATTCCAAGCTCTCGGTGCTTGTTTCAGACCATACAATGCCTTCTTCAGCTTTAACACCTTATCTTCTTGACCTTCAACGACATATCCAGGGGGTTGCTCAATATAGATATCTTCCTCGAGATATCCATTCAGAAAAGCTGACTTAACATCCATCTGATGTATCTTCCATCCATTTTGAGCAGCGAGAGATATCACCATCCTGATACTCTCCATTCTCGCCACAGGAGCAAAAACTTCATTATAGTCAATGCCTGGTCTCTGGATATACCCTTTCCCCACCAATCTTGCTTTGTGCCTGACAACTTCTCCTTTTGCATTCTTCTTTGTTTTAAATACCCACTTCACACCAATGGGCTTCTGCTTCTCAGGTAGTGATACAAGCTCCCAAGTCTTGTTCTTCTCAATTGCTCCAATTTCTTCATCCATGGCTCTTCTCCATTTTTCATCCTTCATGGCTTCTTCAACATCAACTGGTTCACTATCAATGAAATGACAGTAGAGTGTCAATTCATCACCTTCAATGGTTGTCGTTTCTTCATAAATT